CTCAGGTTCTCTCAGGAATCGCTCAGGTTCGCTTTTCCAGGATTTCAGTTTCAGGTTTGGCGTTTGTGTTTTTTTATTTTTACTGCAGTTATTAAATTGTTCTTGTTTCAACTTACAACTCTCCTCACCTTTACCCCTCCAACTCTCTCCCCGATTCCCTGGGTGGAGGGTGGGGAGGCTGCAAGTGGCTGTGTCTTGTTTGGCTGCCAGCTGAGTTAAACTCTCCCAGGGTTCCTTTTTGCTCCTCCGGGATCGTTGTCAGCGGGTGGTGAGCAATCGTACTCTGCAGCAGTCATTTTTTATATATATGTATTGTTGTTATCATTGTTATTGTCATTCATTTTATTTTAGTCTAATTATTAAATTGTTCTCAACTTACAAATCTCCTTATCTTTATCCCTCCAATTCTCTCCCCTATCCCCTGGGTGGGGGGAAAGCGGAGGTGCGAGCGGCTGCGTGGTGTCTGGCAGCCAGCCAAGTTAAACTGCCACAGGCACGGGGAGGGTCAGTCCGGGCTGGGTCTGTTGGGGAAGGAGCGGAGCTGTGGGCAGCCCCCACCAGCACTGCCAGGAGCCCGGGCAGCTTGATGAACGTGGGGCCAGAGCTGAGTTTTGGGAGCAGAGGCTGTGAGGGGCCGGTGTGGCAGCATTACTGGTGTGGTGGCGTTGTTACTGGTGTGCCAGCTGCCCGTCTAGCTGTGCCTGGAGGTCCCTGTGCTCTGTGTGGGGTGAGCTCTGCTCCAGAGCGGTTTGAGCGCAGCAGTGACACCTGAAACAAACCCTGTGGGTCACGTCTGGGACATCGTAGAGGTGGTGACGGGGAACGGGGCTGTTTGTTCAGCTCTGGTGGAGCTCGAAGCCTGTTTTGTGGTTTTCAACACAGAAAAACTTCAGTTTCCGGGCGTTTGTCACGCTGCCGTGTTTTGCCACAGTATAAAGTATAAGATTATATATATAAGACTATATATGTAAAACTTCTTCTCTTAGCCTGGAGAAGAAAAGGCTCCGGGGAGATCTTATAGTGGCCTCCCAGTACCTGAAGGGGCTCCAGGAAGGCTGGGGAAGGACTTTTCATAAGGGCAGTTAATGACAAAACAAGGGGAAATGGGTTTAAGCTGAAAGAGGGGAGGTTTAGATGAGATATTAGGAAGAAATTCTTCACTGTGAGGGTGGTGAGACAGTGTCCCAGGTTGGCCAGAGAAGCTGTGGCTGCTCCTCCCTGGAAGTGTTCTCGGCCAGGCTGGATGAGGCTTTGAGCAACCTGGTCTAGTGGAAGGTGTCCCTGCTGCTGGCAGGGGGGTTGGAACTGGATGAGCTTTAAGGTCCCTTCCAATCCAAACCAGTCTGGGATTCTGTGGTTCAGTCACTCCTGGAAACCCTCAGCTGGACAGTCCCGAAGCTGTGAGGGGTTTGGAGCCAGAGCTCAGTCTGGTTTGACTCGGTGTAACTTGTCTGTCAGTCTGTGTCTGCCTTTGCTCCTCGCCTGCATTTTTCACTTTCAAATCCCTTTCAAGGGATGATCTCTGGTCAATCCTGGTCCCTGAACCTCTTCCAATCAGTCACAATGCACCTGAGTTTAATTTCTGCTTTTAAATATTATGTCCCCTCAGAGCTTTGATCGGAACCTGCACCCAGAGGAGAGATTTTCCCCCTGTGACCTCATTAAGAAAATCAGGGAGCAGAAGGAGGAGCTGGGCCTGGTCATTGACCTGACGTACACAACTCGCTACTACGGACCAGAGGTCAGTCCTGGGTTTACTGTCGGGGAAGCGAAGCTCTGTGTGAGCCCCGATATTGCTGATGCACTGGAAGATGCTTCTTGCAAGAAGATCTTGGTCAGACAGTGGCCCAGGTTGGCCAGAGAAGCTGTGGCTGGGCCCCCCTGGGAGGGTTT